CGTTAGACTGAAAATAGTAGGGCAGCGATCAAACATGTATAACCACATTCTTGCAGTAGAAGTCTGAAGACTCGTTTGCCTCAACCAACGTTCCCAGAAGACCGAGTTACACGGAAAATCTATTCAGGAATGTGACTGCTAATGTATTTGATGTTTGACGCATATTCAGCATAACCACTAATCATGACTTTCCTGCACATGACTATAGGGATGCCTGGATCTTTGATGGTATTTTTGCTGATTGGATTCATTGTAAACACTTCTGTATCATGTTCTCAGTGTCCCAACCCATCCGTGTTCAATTAACGTAGCTGCATCCTAGTAACTTCAGATGTTGCACATCTAGATCACTTACGTGGAGTTATTTTGATAATCAACATCTGAGAGTGACTGGAATCACTAAACTCTCCCCAAACAACAAGCACTAATCGGCAATGGGAAATACATCATGCTATCGGAAATACTTTATTAAGTCGTTGTCAACTTTTTGGCCAACTGTCGTGCACACATTTGACGATTTGCTAGAGTTAGAGCATGATCCTGTTCCATATTATACGTTGTCGGCAAGGGATAATCACATCCGACACAAATACGTTTACTTCTACTTCAAATTATTTTAAACCAATAACATAACCCTTGTCGAATGGTTGATTTTAGTAAATTATTCTTGATATGTTAAATTATTTGAAAGGTTAGACATTTCCCGACTGATGATTTTAGAGAAACTGACTGATCAGTCTTTATTGGAATACATGCATTCTGAGCAGGTCATCAAAGTTGGATTGTGACTAGCAGTAAAATTTAAGATACAGGTTTCATACAATTTAGGACTCGTCTGGCGGATGTTTCTAAATCCCAGTGTGGAATTTCTCACGGAGATTAGAATCCAATACCTTTCTCTTAAAATGACAACACATTATCGATTGAACTATGAAGTTCAGATAGACACTAGTTTGTGCAATTGGTGTGGTTTTTATTCAAAAGGGTTTACATATTTACAATGTTAATGTTAGTTGCTAATAACAAATCACATACTACATTGGTTCTAAGTGGTCAATGTCGTTTTATGATTTCCAAACGAATAAATTTAAATTATGCGATGAATAACATACGGACTATGGTATTGAATACAAGATTGATAATATAAAATGTCTTTAAAATCAGTACATTTGCAAGTGGTTCATAGTCAAATTTCTATCATATAAGAATTCAATTAAATACTGCGCCATTACAAGAAGCGTAATTGCGTATGTACGTAAGTACATTGTTTGGAGGGTTTTTGTTGGGGGAGTTAGATCCCCAGAACTCACTTTGAAACGAATCTAATTTTGTAATTTTATTTAGAAAATTTGAATTTCTTTATTGATTGAGATCATGAACCGATTGATGTTAGACCACCACAATTGAAAACCTGGAAGCACTGGACGGCCGTTTCGTCCTATTGTGCGACTCCTCAGCAGTGCGCATCCATGATCCCGCTCGCGGAATTCGAACCCAGGGGCATCAGTCTCGCACACGAACGCTTAACCAACTGGACCACTGAGCCTGCCGGCATCCAATGGTGATAGTTTCTTTGTTTTCTTTGTTTTGTTTTTGTTTTTTTGCCAAAAGCACTCTTTTCACCTTCATGTCGTATTTCTCACTTGGGAAAATCTTAAACTCTATTGGTTCGTCGTGCCTTTTAGTACGCTATTTTGCGACGCTTCCCAAGGACTCTTTCGTGTTGTATATATACGTTTTGCTTTGTGTCTGTTGTTATCACTCATGTTTCCGGCTTTTTGTGGAATATACTTCCTCATTCCAAGCTTGGACGTCTTCCTCTATTCAGCGGGGCTGGGATGCAATAGAATAGCTAGCTTATCGGTTTCTGGTCACCGAGTCTTTGTTTCCGTTCGCAGATTAAGTGAACTCGTAGCCGCTTCAAACCTAGCAGTTTTGTGACGATTGGTTTGGTCGTGAGTACTTTCACTGATAAGGAGGCCTTGAGAGTAGTCAACTAATAACTAGAACCAGATGAGGGTTATAAACCAGTATGAGGAATTGAGATTATGATTTACAGTGGATGGTTAGGGTTAGGAATTAGATTTAGGGTTATCATCACGAACTGACATGAAATATAATGCCAAAACTCTATTTAGCCAAAAGGACCTGTTATCTTATACGTGATAGGTTCGTCCATAAATTGTAGTCTCGTCAGTGTCGAAATATAAACAATGGTTAGTGTTTAAAACCGTTTACAATCAGTTACAAATAGTTTTGAATTATTTGCATCATCACGCTTTCTTGACTGTGAACATGTATTTAAACTAAACTACTATGTACCCATAACCAGTAGGAAATCAGTTTACTCGACATGGAACTTATAATTCCTTTGGTTTTATGGACTAAATAACAAACGTCAGTGAATGTGGGAAGGAAATGTTATCATTACATGCTTCTTTTTTCTTCACAAATGTTTAATCCATAGAATAATCTGCTTTTTATGAGATTGTTAGCAACAATACAATATATATTGGCATTTCAAATCATTATCTAAAGGGAATATTCCGACGCTGACTCTTTGACGTCCAACGTAAATTTATTAATGATTTCAATGAAAAAAGGCTTACAATCAGATCACTAGTGAACCATCTTCTAGCAGGTCGTTCTGTGATCTATCAATAAATTTCCTTTTTATTAATGATATTTGGACGATACTTTCATCATATTTAATGACAGTGATAATAATATTATATTACTTCAGTAAATCCCTCCTGTCGATTACTTTGATAATGAATTGGGAGTTAAATTGAAAATGTCCTTTTCTTGATGTATTACTGAAATGAAGATAGAATGCATCTGTACAAAGATCGATATAAACAAGCCAACTTGAAATGGCTAGTATATGAACGTTTAGAGTAAGATGGCACTAATTAGGAAGATAAACTAATTCCATTCCCTATCATCAAGAACTATACACATGTAAATAAGGGCGAAATTGATGGGCGATCGAATAAAATTCGTCAAATACTAATGAAGAATGATTTATTACCCCTTAGGTTTATTAACAACAGTCTAAAACTAATGCGACAAGCTAAAGTACCCTGACAGTTCAGTCAAAAGTAAAAGTCATGAACATCGGATTCAAAATAAATACGATGGAGAATATACTGAAGTGCAGACTATCAATATTTCTGAGAAAAACCTATTCGTTATCCCCTCGAGTCGTTTTCTCTTGTAAGGGCCCCCAAATGCACTGGTACGGCCGAGAGTGGGGAGAGTCCGCTACCCCTCTTCAAATTCTCTCACATGGCCACGCGTATACAGCCTCTGCCGATGATATCCTACTCACTGCCTTCTCGTGGCGAGAGTGTTGTTTACGAAATTCAGAAGAAGAAAAGCGAACGTCCGGCACTTTAACCGGGTTGGTAGACATGGAGAGTCCACGTAGGGGCGTTGGAAAACAGTGATTCCAATCCAATGGTGAACATGGGCTCCAGAATCCTGAAGCAAAATATGGTGTATGAACCAATCGTTGGTCACCGGCTACCATGGGTTTGCATCTCATTACGTTGCTCTACTGCCTTGTGGATCAGACCTTTAGGTCGAAGGCTCCGGGTGTGGTCCCCTACGAAAGCCACCTGCTTCAGTTTGGGCACCCAGACAGTATCACAGCCCTCACACATATCAAATGAGTTCTGTGTGGCGCATATGTATTTGGTGGCTCCTTGTACCAATATCTATGTGTTGAAATACATGAATAAATCTCATATGGAGCAAGTTATATTGCTCATAAAAAAGAGCACTTACCAAACATATATCCCTACACTGACCCTATCAGCTATCTAAAGGGATGTGTAAGTTAATCAACTCCACGATCCTTGAACATATGATCAACTTCAATTACTTTCCATCAGAAGAATCGTTTTTTATGAGTATCCACAAAGTTAAAGTTCTTTTAAATTGTACTAATTATTACCAATTATTATCTTATTTTTCACCTTATTTCCCTTCTCATTACTTCTATAAAATATTATTTTTATTTAATTGCCTACAAGACTATTACATAACTCTTAGTCAATATATGGACACATTTGATAGTTTCCCATGCATTTCTTAAAGGATCCAACACTTCACTATTTTATCATAGATAATCATATGTAAACTTAATTTTAAATCCGACTGTACAGTTTAAGTAAATGATAAAAAGAAAGTTCTCTTCGTTGAACCGTCTTCAGATTTTCGAACGATTCAAAGAATTTCTCCCATTGTTTTACAATTAGGATAGTGATTTAACATATACACTAATGCACTAACATTGTGAAATATGGAATCATATAAATTGAAACACTTTACGAGATGAATTCACTGTTAACTGATAATAATATCAATGAATCCATACAAGATTCTTTTACATTTATACAATCAAATGCATTCAATACATCTAATTAATACCATAAGTGAGGAATCAAACAAACCATGTATGATTTACGTACTATTTGGGACTCGTCAGCTGGATGTACCTGCATCTCAGAGTTAATGTTCACACTGGAACTCGAACTCAGTACCGTTCGTTTCAAATGCCATCCCGTTATCCAATATGCACAGTATGCACATATGCTAATAAGAGACTGATCAATTGCAGTTCTAAACATCAATGGTAAGATTCAAGTAAATAATATCAAGTGAATTCATACTTCACCCCATTGCACAATCAGGTGGCGATCAGGTTTCAGTAGCTAAGTGGATAATGCAATGGTATTGGAACGACACTGGGTTCGAGTCCCAGAGTGAACATCAACTCTGCGATGTAGGTACATCCAGCTGATGATTCCCAAAATGAGACGAAACGCGCGTTCTCCATCCCACTGCTAGCCACTATTGATCTTTGTTTATAATGTTTGTGAATTAAGGCAATATCGAGGCAATATGCACAGTATACACATATGTCAACAAGAGACTGATCGAAATTGCAGTCCTAGACATCAATGGAAAGATTCAAGCAAACAATACTAAATGAATTTATGTATGATTTAATTTTCTTTTTTTATTTATATATAGAATTATTCACAAACTATAATAATGAAGAAGAAGAAGTAATTTCATACGGTGGCGGTGGTCCATATTCATGATAATATGATAATGGTGTAATATGAAATCGGATACATCGATCTTTGATATATTTACGATATAATTGTTTGAGTGCATTTTTTAAATCTTCTGTATTTGTAATTTGATACAGATTATGATTATCTATAAGATAAATAAAAATGATTAATTGATGTATCCATTAAAATTACATTCATAGTTCACATGGAGATTATTTTGATCAGTAAATGAAATATTTCGATGATATAAAATCAATAAATCACATCATTCACCTTGACTGTCTATGTTGATTGATTTAATTGTCTTAATCACCTATGGTGTATTGATTTCCGTGATCATTTCAGTTACGTACAATTAATGATTATGAGATGATACGAAATAGAATTTACTGCTGATATTGATAGTAATTATGAAATATGCTATGCGGAATCACGGATGAGCACTGCTGAGGAGTCCCATACTAGGACGAAATGGCTGTTCAGTGCTTCCAGTTTTTCCATGGTGGTGTAGTTTCAATTGACTCATGATTTCAACCAGTGAAATTTCTAAAAATCTCCACAAAACCCCTACTGATAAATAGATAACTTTATTATTTTGGCTGGATACCATCAGCAATAATCTATTGTGTAAGAGAACAACCCAGCTTCCAGCTTATGAGTAAATTAAAAAGAGATAATGGAAGTGGATAAGACATATATTACAGAAATCACCGAATTACAAGATGAGGCAAGCGCTAAGATAAAATTTTGAAAGGAAACAGAAAAGTATAAGATCGGACAATACACTTCGCCGAGAAACGGAAGCAGTCATGAAAAGAATGAATATCAATTGGAAAGAACTGTAAAAAGTTGCCTAGGACAGAGTTGGATGTTGAATGCTTGTGAGCAGCCTATACTGCTTCGCGAGGGATAATAGGAGTAAGTAAGTAAGTAAACCTTATTATTCTTTTAAATTTAGTATCAATCAACCGCCCATAATTTACACAGATTCAATAAAATTAGAAAATTTTTATTTATTCTCTATAATAGTGACAATGAAGTCAACAAATGGCTTTAACAATTTCACTTATTATCCTACAGTAGGATGAAACGGGAGTCCAGTGCTTCCAGATTTTCCATGGTAGTCTAGCTTCATTCGACTCATGATTTCAATCTAAAACGATTTCATTCGGTAATTGTTATATAACTGATAAATCTTACGGTACCGGAATGACATACGCTGAAGAAATTATTGTTTGCTTAAACTGGTTCACAAAGCACCTACATTCTGGAATCTATTCTTGTTGACATTAGTAAGTAGGATGCATGATCGAGGTTGCAGAGGGCGCACTGATTTTTAATAACAGCTACCGTAATATCGTTATTACATTCACAGTTATCACTATTTAGGTATTCCTAATAAATGTAGTCATTTTAAGAAATAAAATTTCGTAGTTTGGTAATTTTAAAAATCACTCATGATTCATGACCAATTAGATTAGTATCACCTTGATAGAAAAATGAAATAATCAGTGAGACTATAATTTATAGATGAGCTTTGAGCAATGCTAAACTGACCTTGAGAGTGTTCGCCTAATAACAAGGACCAAATGAGGGTTATAAACCAGTGTGAGAAACTGAGATTGTGATTTACAGTTGATAGTTAAGGTTAGGGATTACATTTAGGGTTTTTATCACGAACTGACATCAGTTATAATACCAAAACTTTATCTGGTCAAAAGGATAAGTGAATTTTCCGACAAAATTCAATACCTGTTATCTTCTACGTGATTGATTCGTTCATAAGTTATAGCTTACTTACTTACTTACGCCTGTTACTCCTAATGGAGCATAGGCCGCCGACCAACATTCTCCAACCCACTCTGTCCCGGGTCATAAGTGATAGTCTCGTCAAATAATCTTATATTTAGATCATACTGAACCTTCAAGCATGGGAATAACTACAATGTAATTACATATCCTAACATGAAGGATAAAATAGTTAACGTCATATGTTTTGACTGAAAATCATGCCATTAATTTTAATTCATTTCTTGTTCATGTCAAGATATCTGAAAACATAATCAACGGTAATGAAAGTCTCTAAAATCCTAACAACATAAAGACTTACTTTGGTGCTTGTGATACAGTTTAAATATCTATTTCTATTTGAAATAGACGCTAATCATCTATCTCAATCTGAAAATCAGAGCTTTACATTATGAGTCTATCCAGATTGAATAGAACATCAACATCGAAAAATAACAATTGTAATTGAATGTCAATACCAAAAGTAACGTAATGATAATAGGGAATATCTACTGTGATGTGTACTGACTATGTTCACAGATATGAGTAGTAAGTGACACCAGACAGAAGTGACATGTCTGCGAGCAAAAGATTGAGAAGATTGAAATGAAGACAAAGAAGAAGGAAATTGAAAGCAATCAAGATAACAACAGAATTAGATGAATAATGAAGTATGTGAAGGACAATTCAAAGAAAATGTGCAAATGATGTATGGACTGTATGATTTTTACATTTTATTAAACCACCGTGTCATTTGTGTACTGAACAGTAAATTTTATTTTATCAATTCAACACATAAACATTTTTACAAGGAGGCACCTAATAGATATATGCCACATAAATCATTCGATTTGTGTAAGGGCTGGGATACTGCCCGAGTGCCCAAACCGAAGCAGGTAGTTTTCTTAGAGGGCCACACCTGGAGCCTGTGATTTACAGGTCTGATTCACAAGACAGTGGAGCAACGTAAGGAGATTCAGTCCTATGGTAGCCAGTGACCAACAATAGGTTCATACACCATTTGTTCCTTCAGGATTCTGGAGCCCATGTGCACCATTGGTTTGAAATCAGTGTTTTCCAACTCACCTAGGTGGACCCTCCTTATCCCTAAACCCCAAATAAAGCACCAAACATTCGCTTTTGGTCCTCTTAATTTTGTAAACAACACTGCAGTCGCAATAAGGTAGTGAGTAGGACTTCCCTGTCAGGGGTTATATGAACGTGGCTATGTGACAACATTTCGAGAGAGGTAGAGAGAACTGAATCTCCCCACATTCGGCCTTACCAGAGCATTTAGAGGCATTCCTTCCAATACTACTCTCTAAAGTATGTATCATTAATCAAATAAACTCAAACTAAACATTATCAATATTTACACACTATAAACAAACCAGCTTCCAACTACAGAAGAAATTAGGAAAAGACGATGGAAATGGATATGACATACATTATGCAAATCATCAAACTGCATCATGAGACAAGCCCTAACATGGGATCCTGAAGGGAAGAGAAAAAATGGAAAGCCAAAGAATACATTACGTCGAGAAATAGAATCAGATATGAAAAAAGGATGAATAAGAACTGGAAAGATCTGGAAAGGATTGCCCAGCACAAGGTTGAATGAACATTGTTGCTGGTGAGCGGCCTATGCTCCTCCATGAGGAATAACAGGCGTCAGTAAGTAAGTAAATAAGTAAGTAATAACATTTTTTTAAAAAACTTCAACTTACAATTCCATTGAATGATATAATCTTCATATTTGAAATTATTTAATTCATGTAGTTTCTTTAAAATATCCTCATATTCTAATATATGAGTAAGTTTTTGTAATTTCCATATAAATATAATTTGTGCATCATGATTATATTCTTTTTGAATTAATTTGAATATAACCATTTAATGAAGAAGTAGAAGACGAAGAAGAAAAGGGAGTATATGATTATCTTTACTATTACTAATATATATATATTAGTGTAGTATAGTTGCTAAGGGTAAAGCAAGTGATATTACCATATATATATATATATATATATATATATAATTCTATTTATTCATTGATTATTATTATCATCAATTAAGTTTGATCAACTTCTGTTTATTAATTGAACCAATAATCTTGGCTTCTAGAAGTATCATCTTATATCATTCACGTGTATAAATCATATGCTACTAAATTATAATTGAATGTCTAGAAGAGAAATATCTATTGAATAGTTTTATATCTTCTTTTTTCTTTCATTCTTAATATACTGAAAGAGAGAGACAGAGAGAATATAATTTTGTTTGTTTTATATGTATGTTGTTGGCATGTTTATGTTGTGTGTTTTTTGTTTTGTTTAATGTATACTTATGTCATGGATGTTTTGGATCGTGAATAATATGTATGTTCGATTTGAATTATAAACATTGTTTCTGAAATGATTCTGGTTAGTGTTTTTGTAGTGAGTTAGTTTTCAACGGGATGGGGTCGCTAACCCCATGCCTAATCCTCCTTCTTTATCCGAGATTGGGACTGGCAGTAGCCTCCTGAGGGACTTCAGGAGGAGTTTTCTGAAATGATACTGAATATTTTTTTGTTTCTAATTCAGGATATGAAATGTTGGGAGTGTTGTATACTTTAATTGGATTTAATACATTGTGGATATTTCGTTATCTTGTTAGGTACTTTAATGAAAGGTATATGTTAATAATGGTTGTTTAGAAAGATCATGCAAAACATAACAACTAAACAATTCGATTCGGGTGACTATCGTAATTAATGATTGAAGATTCTGAATGATATAGTTCAGAATCGATTATAATGGCATAGGTGTATACACTCTTTATCTTCTATTAAACTATGAGATTAAAATAGCTTTATATCTCTGTTTCTACTAATTAATTCTTTCTTCCAGTACTATATTCTTATATGAAATCTCTCTTTTATATGTTACCACCACTGAATTAACTAATTCTATGAATTCGGTTGTGCTAATGAGGTGTAGCAACTTCAACCGATGCATATATGTGTCTAGTCCTACGTTGTAGCTGACTGACTGACTGGTTTGTAGAATATAACATCTCCAAAATCAGTGATTAAACTAGATTATTAAAGGTCACTTATAAGGTATTTATTTAACTAGTTTCGTGTAACTTTCGATATTTACTATTACATAATTATAAATAAATAACACATTTGATGACAATACTATTTAAACTTGGATTAATTTTGATTTGGTTATTTATTCTCTGAAGAAGTGGCTTGCATCAAGTTACGAAACGTAAGAAAATTTAATTTTTCTACTCGCTGAGATATTACGAATATATTATTTTTTTATTTAAAAAAATCTAACCAGTGAACAATTTTGTCGAAATGATCAAGTCAAACCTTGGTGATGATATTTATATTACATAGTTACTTGAGTATATCAATCAACCTTAAAAGGAACAAATGATTTCTACAGGACTACTTACTAACCTACCTGATTACGCCTGTTACTCCTCGTGAAGGAGAATATGCCGCTAACCAGCATTCTCTATCCAACCTTGTCCCAAACAATCCTTTCCAGCTAATTCCAGTTCCTATTCATCCTTTTCATATCTATTTCTATTTCCCGACGTAATGTGTTATTTGACCTTCCACTTTTCCGCTTCCATTCAGGATTCTAAGTTAGGGCTCATCGCGTGATGCAGTTTGACAATTTGCATAATGTATGTCATATCCATTTCCATCGTCTTTTCCTAATTTCTTCTTTAGTTGGAGGCTGGTTTGTTCTATCACAGAGAAGGTTGTTGCTGATGGTATCCGGCCAATGGATGTTGATTATCTTGCGTAGACAACCATTTATAAATACTTGTACCTTCTGGATGATGGTTGTAGTAATAGTTCTCCAAGTTTCAGCTCCGTACAGTAGAACTGACTGTGTTGACGTTCGTATTGAAGATTCTCACTTTGATATTGTTTTAAAGTTGTTTTCAGTTCCATGTGTTATTCAATTGTAGAAATGCGGTCCTTACTTTGCCAAAACTCGCATTACGTCTGCATCCGAACCTCCTTGTTCATTGATGATGCTTACCATATATGTGGAGGATTCTACATCTTGCAGAGTTTCGCCATCAAGAGTGATTGGATTGTTGTTTTCGGTGTTGTATTTGAGGACCTTGGTTTTCCCCTTACGTATGTTGAGGCCTACTGATGAAGAAACTACTGCTACACTGGTTGTCTTTATCTGCATTTGTTCATGTGTGTGAGATAGGAGGGCTGGGTCATCTGCGAAGTCCAAACCGTCTAATTGATTCTGAGCTGTCTATTTTATGCCGTGTCTTCCCTCAGATGTCGAGGTCTTCATAATCCAATCGACCACCAAAAGAAAGAGGAAGAGAGAGAGAGTAGACAGCCTTGTCTGACTCCTGTCATTACTTGGAATGCATCTGTCAGCTTTCCTCTATGCTAATCAGAAAAAATAATCTACACGTTATCACATCATAAATCATATAATGTCTTTCGAAGTAGAAACATTGTATTAAATAATGTTCCTAGGAATTAATTAGTTAACAATAAATTTCTTGGCTTAAATATATATACTGAAACATTATTTATTGGGTTTTCATCCTGTACAGTTATGTAATTATTTTCAATAACGTTTTCATCACTGTTATTAATGAAGGCTTGATGTGAACAGTGAAATAAAGAAGTCATGACAAACAACGAAAGCTATTTTTGGACCGTTGTCTCACTTAATTCAAAGCTTTTAAAACACTAACATTTAGTTTTGTCCCAAGTTTATTCCATAAACCATAAGCTTTCGTTTGATGTATAATTCTGTTCCAAAGCTATTGTAATTTAAAAGTAACCATTTGTACTCTACTTTTGTGCTCATAATTGTAGTTTTCTAGTTGTTTTTGTGTTGTTGCCAAGATATTCATCTATTTATTCGTGTATCTTTTTACACTAATCGGAATCGGAAATAGCGATCGGGAATAAATCGAGTAATGTTCCAGTTGAATCGTCTTCTATTGCTTGTCAATCCATCAGGTGATAGAATAGTTTTCATTTCTCTAGCCAAGATCGTTAGTCTCAATTTAGACTAATGCATTTCTAGCCTCAAGGTTAAACCAGTTAGCCTATCATTTCAAGGCCTTAACCTATATCGATACATGTTCTCTTCTGTATTTTACTGAGTAGACAGATCAAGGACGTAACATGGCCAATGCCAAATTTAATTAAAGAAATTAAACGTAAAGGAATGTTGTGGATATAGCCCAGGATTTTGATTTAGGACACTATTAATGGAAGAACCTAGTAGTATCCTTATGATGAAAGTTTGTTACTAGATTAACCACAACTGAAAGTACCATAATTAATTAAATTAAAATGACTCAACATTTCGATCGAAAACCTATTAGATTTGTACATGATATAAATGGTTAAAAAGAATGGTAGAACTATAATTTATGGACGAACTAATCAAATTTCACATAGCTCTTCTTGGATTTTTGCGCAAAACTCACTCAACGATTATAGTTGAAGATAGTTCATGATCAAAGCCCTGACTCTAATTGTTTACTTTAAATTGCAACACAGAGTCTTATTCTTAATTATTTATATTAATTCACGAATCCACGTTGGGCATAATAAGCGATTGAAGTTACTTGTAGGCAATTAGAAACGCTTACAGGTTGTTCTGAAATTTTAGTCTCTCTATTTATACTTAGTTCTAAGGTTATTACCAGTTTCAAATCCGTGTAAAGGAGGAGGGTTGGGCATGGGGTCAGCATCCCTATCTTGTAGATACATTCTTCCTAGAAAAAAAAACACTAATCATATCGAACAAATTAAACCATTTAAACTCTGTCCTTCGAGTTAAAGAATCTTCATTCAAATGAATTGTGACGCCTCATGATGAAAGCCGTGACTTTCCGGAAGTCATGAGGTCGATGTAATTTCTAACAACCGGAGCAACAATTTACATAGGTACATCGGATGTTCGTACAATGTGGGAGGTTGAGAAGATCAACTGAATAGCTGCGAAAATGAGGAGATAAAGCTTGGGGGTTCTCGGAATAACTGAAACTCATTAGGTCCAAGCTGGACAGAAAAGGATAGATTCGGGAGAGATGCTGTTGTACTCTAATCACGAAGAAGAAAATGCGCTCTGATGTTGTTTCAAGAATCACAGGAAGCACTTGTAAAATGGGATTCTCATGGATCCAGAATCATAGAAGTATCCCTCGAAACAAAGAAGGATGGGATCATGATGGATGTTATCGAATGATATGGACTCATCAATGGCAGCATGATGGAAGATGTGAAAACAAGGAGAGGATCATTACCCAGTTGTGGCCAATTCAAAACTGAAGCTAAAGAAGAATTGGACAACTGGACAAACAGCAATACAAAAGTTCAATACAACCTTCCTTCGAGATACTGACAAACTCAATGAATTCAAGATAGCTCTCAACAACAGGTTCCCAGCCTTACAAGATCTACTGAAGAAAGGAGAAACTACGATGAAGAACAACTGGAAAGGTATCAAAGAAGCACTAACTTCAATGTGTCAAGAGGTGCTAGGTCTCAATAAGTATCATCATAACGAATGGATCTCTATGTAAATCCTGGACAAGACTCAATAAAGGAAGAACAAGAAGACAGCAGATAACAACAGCCGAACAAGAACAGGGAAAGTTAAGGCAGAAGCTTTATACACAGAAGCAAACAAGCAAGTGATGAGGAGCATTAGAACCAACAAGCAGAAATATGTGGAAGACCTAACAACAACAGCGGAAAAAGCTGCAAGAGAAGGAAATATGAGACAAATATATGATGTAACGAAGAAACTGGCAGGAGAATATAACAAACCAGAAGGACTGGTCAAAGATGAAGCAGGTAAGCCAGTCACGAAGATTCAAGAATAAAGGAAAGAATGGGTATAACACTCTGAGCAACTCTTGAATAGGTCAGCTCCATTTAATCCACCAGAAATCAAAGCAGTATCAACTTCCAGCTGAAGAAATTAGG